ATCTTTCTGAAAGCAATGTTCCTAACCTTTCCAACACTTTTGTCTTTAGTTAGGATTTATGTCTAGGATCTAAGAACTGACAACCAACCTCATTGTAGGTAAGCCAGGCATAAGGTCCTCCAGGACTGCTGCGGTAACCCAAACATGGTTTATCACCTGAGACAATAGTTATAAATTCACATCAAAAGTAGTTTAAAATAGGAAGTTCAAAAACATATAGTTTGATGTCTTTGGTTGAAGACATAGTGGCCTGGCCTGGGTTGTTCAAAAGGTGGATAACGTTATCCACCGGATAAATCATATCCAGTGGATAGAGTGGTTTGTTTTGTTAACACTTATCTACTGGATAGCGATTTATCCAGTGGATAGCGTTATCCAGCCTTTGAACAACTGGGGCAGAGGGTTTGTGCACTGATAATTAAATTGAAGCAGTCCAGATTTGAGCCTTGGCAGGGGTCATTGGTTGTGTTCTCGAGTGAGATACTTTAGGGGTGGATCATTTGACTTTTGATGGAGGGACTGGGTGGGTGATTTGGTACAAGCACAATTGCTTTTTTCAACCCTTTCATGCTCACAAGGAAATTTTTTCCCCCAGATGTGTGCATGATGAATTTTTTTTTTCTCCATACAACATGAATTTTTTAAGCTCAATCAATCAAAGTGTGTGAATTTGTTTTCAAAATCACCCACCCCTCCCAAAAAAGTCAAATGGTTCACCCATCAGTGTGCATCTAGGTCCACCAGTTAGGTCTCCAATTAGTTGCAAAAACTAAATACATTGACACATTAATAAAGCTTTTACTTACTTACCAGTATATGTACCGGCAAATTCTGAAGTTCTTTGCAGCCTCTAGATCAATATTTTAATTCTTCATACTGATTGCTATACATTTCTTTCCATGCTAGTTGTGAGAATTTGGTAGTACATCAAGACAATCATCTTCTAGCTGATGATTTTCTTTATTCTCATCAGCCATCTACTTTTCAATGCATTAATAACATAAGGAGAAATTAGACTGCGATTTAAAATTACAACTTGTTGAGATTAAAATTTCTGACCTGATATTCTCACGCCTCGAAGGAAAGCTTCATGGCTTGTGTTCACGTCATCAAATAATTTTTCCACAAGTTCTGTAGTTAGAGAATTCATTCTGGCATAATCACCATCCTGTATTTTTTTAAAATAAATTAAAGGAAAAAGTTTTCATTAACTTGCAAATAATTATGGGTTATTGAAAATAATTACGGTTATTGTTAAGATATTGGCCAAAACACAAAAAACAGAATGAGGCCAATATCCAGCTGTCTTGACCAAACAAGCTTGATCAATAAAGGATTTATTATATGGAAAAAGAACACTGTTTTCTCAGGTGGTTTAATTAAGAGCTGGGCACTGCGCAAATTGACCGTCTGTGAGGAAGATTTTGCCAACCTGGTTTGACAATCTAGTGGACAGTTTTTTTTACAAAGAAGTTCAGATCAAATAGTTTTGTCTGCCTGTGAAAACCAATATTACTCTCCTGCTGAAAACGTTAATAAAAACCCTGTTTTTTTTCAGTGGCTAACCCCGAGTGAGCAAGATAGCACCTTCTCACTTACTCAGGTAGTCTATCACAGTGCAAGATTTGGTTCATCTTGCCCGCTCACGGAGCTACATGGAGCCAAATAATAACTAATGATACTGCCTACAGTATAGGGGAGTCCAGTTTTGTTCATAATCATATAGTCACATGATTAACAAAATGGGGATTTGCCAGTCCTAAGTATTGCAACAAAAATAATTATTGGACCATGTGAGGTCCTGTTATCAATCAAAGCCGTAACAAAACTTGAGCAAAATTATCATCGTTTACATGACTGTAAATATTCTCATGAATAAAAAAACACATTTTCAAGTTTTACTTTTTGACAAAGATTTATAAGAAAAGCAACCCAAAATGTACGTAACTAGTAAAAGTAATGAGCCTGAGATGTACTGCAGTATATGAATGCAGCTGTTTTGAGAAGGATTGTTGGGTTTAAAGCATAAAAGAGCATGAGGCAACCCTGAAATTTAGTATGGGCAGAAGTAGATAGCTGCTACACATGCTGAATACTTAATCAGATATAATGACAAGGTAAATTGCATCATTTCATATGGTTTCTTTTTCTTCTGACTTGTGGAACCAAGGTTCTTTTCATCACACTAAATTTTAGGAGAATTTTCCACTAAAAGTCATGTAACAGTGAACAAAAAGCTACAGACTGTGTTATAAGTGGAAAATCTTATGTATCCTTACCAAAACTTCACCTACCAAAATGCAAATTTGTGGATTTCCTCTACACGGATATACAAAGTTCCAATGAAAACTCAGACTACCATTTGGACGTGTCGCATAAGCTAGACCCTTTCATGTGACAGCCTTTCTCAAAACAGCTGTATGTCAAGGATAATTTTATACTTTGCTGCAGCTAAATCAAGGCCAACAAATCTATTTAATTTTGCACCAAAAAATAAACTGAAACCACACTTTCACACCATGGCAAATCCTGGGCTTACTAGTAATTTTACCCTATTTGGGCACATCTTATTTAAAAGTTCAGTTCCTTGGGGGAGGANCTGAAACCACACTTTCACACCATGGCAAATCCTGGGCTTACTAGTAATTTTACCCTATTTGGGCACATCTTATTTAAAAGTTCAGTTCCTTGGGGGAGGAGTGGGCCATGTGGATAAACCAGAATTACAGGGCCCATGAGTACAACTTACCTCATTCCAACCAGTTGCATGTTAAATGGAGAATTGCAGATCTTACATTTCGTTTGTAAAAAGATTAAGCTGGATTAAGTAATATTGGGGGAGGGTCTTGTGGAAAAAGCTAGGATACAGACAAGATCTTTGTAAGCTTATCTATATACCACAGGAATAAAGAACGTTTAAAATAGTTTCGTTATAAAACGAGAGAAAATTACACGCGAAGAAGAATAATGGTCGTGGGTCTTGTGGTAAGAATAGTTACCGGTAACTCAAAAGACTGTTGCTGAGGATCAACGGGACAAGGCTGAGGCGTCGGACGTGACGCAAGGTAGTACATCGACGCCAAGGCTACTGCTCCAAGCCCTGCAGCCATGGCAGGGTCTCCGAGATATTTCAGAGCGGAATCAGCAACACTATCCGCCATGGCTTTTTCAAATGATGCTTTGATTGCCTGTGAAACGTATCAGAAAATGACAATTTTAAACCAAGCATGACAAAATGGGTCTTTCACGCATAACTCAAGAATCCGTGAAGCTAAAACTGTGAATTCAAGCAACAAAACCGTGTGATAACCATGGAAGTAAAGCTTAACTCATTTTCACAAAGAATATCGCACTCTTAACAATGTAGTAGATACTTACTATAATGCAGTGTATGTCCCTTCGGTTACTCGCGGAGAATGGGCTTTTATAGACGAACACGTTCCAGGGAAAATCACGAGATTTTGTCACGCTCTTCGTCTACTTCCTCGACCTTTGATCAATGGACTGGTCAAGGACAACCGCTGGACAATACAGCCTTCTCTCCCTGACACTTTCTGTCAACACCTCTGATACTTAAGCTAAAAATAACCATTCTGACTATTGAATTTTTTGACACATTTTATTGAATACCAGAGGATCCGTCGGAATTCAGAGATTACTTTGTAGTTAAGAGGAAATCGCACCTTTGGTGGCTCCAACAATGCGCATTTCGCGGGGCGCGTGTAGTGCATAGGCCGGATGTAGCGCACAAATTTGGAAAAAAGTCAAAGGTCTGACACCGTAAAGGTCTAGAAATATTTCTGACCTCATGTTATTTTGCCTCTGAACTTTAATCAGGGCTATGTAACCACCATATATAAACGTTTTATAACTGACGTTTCTTAAATTCATATATTTTTTTTTGGCGGGAAGTGAATTTCAGTAGACTTCAGTCGCTTCATAATCCCCCAGCCCGGGCTTCTTCCCATCCACGAGATCCACGAACCATATGTTTTCCCTGATCTTCGATCTTGTATGATTAGTGATGTAAATTCGATAAGTCCGGATTTTTTTACCGTTCGATTGAGCGGAATACCTTTTTCACTTGGAAACAAGTGAATCGAAATTGTCGGCGCATGTCCACCCCCCGGTGGGGGACTCCCATATGGAATGGACGGGGAT